GGGAAGGGGTGGGTGGGAGAAGGAAGAGAGGGAAGTTGGGTGAAAGTGGGTGGGGAGGGAAAAGGGGAAAAGGGGGGTGGGGGGAATGCGTACATTCTGTCTGCAGACTATTTAAAAAAAGAAAAGGAATGACCACATTGCGTTCATCTTTCAAAACAGACATTTCCTTTTGTTACATAGAACCAAGTGTCTTTCCTGGTGCCTGTTTGATGACGGGCGTCTAGAGTACAGTGGTCGGCAAATCGCCGGCTGAGTGCGGCTCGGCCCAGTCGGCTCTGACTTCAAAAAAACAACGGTTCTTGACCTGGTTCTTGACCTGGTTCTTGACCTGGTTCTTGACCTGGTTCTTGAAAATAAATGTATCTCTCAAAACAAACGTTTTAATCGTCCTGCTGCTGATGTTTGTGGCTCTTTGGACTAAAGAGTTTGCCGGCCACTGGTCTAGTGTGTATATACGTGAACTATTATTAATATCGCTATTGGCATGGGCGCCCGCAGGTAGTGGCAAGGTGGGGCTCTTGCCCCCCCCCCCCCTGGATTGATTGGATAAAAAAATTTTTAGACAAAAATAGACAAAAAANTATCTCTCAAAACAAACGTTTTAATCGTCCTGCTGCTGATGTTTGTGGCTCTTTGGACTAAAGAGTTTGCCGGCCACTGGTCTAGTGTGTATATACGTGAACTATTATTAATTTCGCTATTGGCATGGGCGCCCGCAGGTAGGGGCAAGGTGGGGCTCTTGCCCCCCCCCCCCTGGATTGATTGGATAAAAAAATTTTTAGACAAAAATAGACAAAAAATGTATTAAAATAAAGAGAAAATAAAGAGAAAGTAACTAAGCTGATATCCTGTCCGTTCGTTCACCATACAAATATGCTACAGTAAATTAAAACAATATTAAAACATTACTAAAAATTTTTTGCCTCCCCCCTGGAAAGTTAATTGATTTTTTTTGCCCCCCCCCCCTAGAAAGTTTTCTGCGGGCGCCCATGGCTATTGGTTTCAATGATGTGTTATGTTTTGTATATATGCTATGTATATGTTTTAGAGGGGAACAGCGTATATTGAGTCGCCCTTCTGCCAGCACGAATAACTTCCTTAATGATAAACATAACAAATTGTGTAACCTTAGGTATACGGCTGGCTTTTATACGTTTCTGTTTCCAGCGTATCCCATTAAAAAAAAAAAGTGCACGGGTCCACACACACACACAAAAACTGCCCTTCACGAACGGTTATCTAATAACCAACGCACCCCCCTTTCTGCTGAGCTTGTGATAAAAAATGTCTACACCTCTCGTGTCAGGGGAAATGACTGCGAGAATGATCGAGTCCAAACAAAAGCACGAGACGTGAGATCGACTGCTTCAGACGGCCGTGTTGATCGCGATAAGCCGCATCGTCATATTGAACAAACAAATATATATATATATATTATTTATATTTATATATATATATATACAACCATCAACGTAACAGAAAAAACGAAACTTGGATATAACATAACGTTGTATATTTTTTTTACAGAAAGTTTAAAGGAACAAGCTGCTTTTAAGGATAAGGTAATATACGATTTTTTACCATTTAGCACTGGTCCGTATCTAGGACACTTGTGCTCTTCATATATTTTAGCATGTCAACATGTCATAGTCTTGGTTTAAAATTTTGCTCAGTCATTTTTTTTTCTTCGTAAAGAAAGATTCATATTTATACATCCGAACAAAACAGGCGTGTGTATTTTGTGAGAAGAGCTTTCTTAGATTGGATCAAAAGTAAATTGTGCTCCCATCCATTTAGTCAAGACTGGTGTGTATTTAAATTTTAGATATTGTTTTTAGTGTTTAAGCTTTGTCAAAATATCTTTTTTTTTATTTTTTTTTTTTTAATTGCGTTTGAATATTTAACATTTACGTTTTTAAAAAGAAGTTTTAGAATAAAATAAAACAACTTGGCAGCAAGTTTGTCCCGATAAAATGGGTTCAGAAAGTGATGTGGCGCTTTGATTTATTTTATTTTAATACAAAAAAAATTCTGTAGCTACAAGTTACGTGGGATTTTTCAAAGAATGGATTAAATCTGTGCCTGCCTCGCAGTTTTTTCTACTTAACGAGGTCTGGATTACGACTCTGGGATATCATCATACGTCAAAAGCCTTTGGTGGATAATTTAACCTGAGTGGACAAGGTTCCTTCCTCAAGGATATATAATGTGGTATCGAGACTGGCTGTGTTGGCACATCTATGTGTTGTGTTTTTGTTATTTCATTCTTTAATTAAGTGTATGAACTGCGCGTGTACAAAAAGGTAGGGTGGACTGAATTTACTATCTTTCTATATGTACGATATTGTGGCAGTGACATTGTATCACCATCTAGTAGATGGGAATTGTGTCTAATGATTTATCTAGTTAATTTTGTTATATAATAAGTTAAATGTGCCTGTTTATGAAATGTTTGTAAATAAGAATATCTTTAATTTTCAGGGGTGATGCATGGATTAATAATTATTGGCCTTGCGTTGTTATTAGTTTCTTTCCTGCATTAACAAATTGAAGATTTTTATTAATTGTATATGAAAATCATAGACGACTTACAGTGTATAAATATAGTTGTTTTTTTTTTAATTATTTCTTTCAAGCACGATTTAATAGTTGTTTGCTTTACGATTTGAAAACCCTTAGTTTGTTTCGTTAAACTGTAAAGTAGTTATTTTCCTTGACTGATGTTTTTGAACGCTCCCATGCAGTTGGTAGTCGTCTTGAGAGCGTCATCACACCGTTGGCTTTATTTTTTTACACGGTTCATTTCAAGGCAGGGTCGTCTTGTTAACACCGTTTAACATCAGCAAATTAAATGCTTATACCACCAGAGAACTAATTGGAGGACAGAGACCAACTGTCAAATCTTAGCAAGTCCGACAGTTGTGTGTGTGCGTTTTTGGAGAGAGGGGGGAGGGGGAGAGAGAGAGAGAAAGGGAGGGAAGGTAGGAAGGATGTTAGTCGGAGGCACCTACCCATGTGACCCGAAAGCGTCTTTTTAAAAATGTAACTGCATGATACAAGTGTGTGTGAACTGCAAGCGTTTCAAATGATGTCTCGGGTTTGTACGTCTCTGCGCTCCGGGTTAGCTATGCGGCACATCGTAGCCACATCGCAAATCTGGTACAAATTGTATAATATTATTGAAGTTTAGACACGTTTCTTTTACCGTTACATTTATAATGTTGTCCGTTCGTGGAATTTGGAAATAAGCAAGGAAAGAACCATAACTAATAAATACCTTGATTGAACGGCAAGAATCTTTATTACCTCCCTTTTATTTAAAAAATGTGTCCTAGGCGCTGAGTCTGTTTGAAAGCTGTACCGATATTCGGCTAGAAGGTGATACTTTGTATCCTTTCACAATCATTAACTCACTACTACACGACATTTCACTTAGGATTGGTATTAGCTTATTTTGTTCGAGATTATTCACCTCCCTCTTTATGTCTCTCTATTCCTCTTATTTCCAGAAGCACCATCCCCCAAACGACATAAAGAAATCAAGTCAAGAACACCGAACCAACCCAGCAGAACTTTCACCATGGACCACAGGACACTATTGAGGATCTGTTTTTACCAGCTCATTTTTTTCACAGTACTAGTCAACGTCATTGCTGGCAATGACGTCATTACCTTTAGTAAGTTGTTTTGTTATTTTGTTTTTTGTTGGTTTTTTTTGTTGCAGTTGTTTTTTCCTTCGAACAAGCTGTGTGCACATCTTAAGTATATATTAATTCGTTAAAGAAGAACTCTGACTTTTTATTTATTTATCTTTTTTTGTAAAAAAATATTGCCGCTAAATACTTTTTTCTTTTGGACATTATTATTATTAATTGTAAATCTCCATGTTAAAGTTAAAGGGGAATTTTTTTTTTTTTTTTTTAATTTCGATCTATTTTGAAACTGCTAACCCCCCCCCCCCCCAAAAAAATCTCTTTTTGCCAACACTTAAAATTTAGTATTGAGTACACTTGCTTTCTAATATTGTATGATGGAATTTTTTTATGAAAAGATACCACGTGATTGCATCGACTAAATTTGTAAAAAGTAGGACTCGACAGCTCCGGCTGATGTCAAAACTAGGACTTCTTTCCTCCATTTTTATTTTTTAAATATAAAAATAAGTCTTATTCCATCTATGAATTTGTAATTATTATTTTTTTTAAATTGAAATATAAAAACTAAGTCTTTTTCCATCTTCGAAATTCTAAATTTAAAAAAGAATAATACTAATTTTTTTTTTTGTAATACTTGCAGACCAAGATAAAGATCTCTCAGCGGAGGAGAACGTTGACACTCTCTTAGAGACGGAGCAGTTCATCAAAGTCGATGGTAGAAAAGCTCCCCAGACGAAACACGCAAACGACAGCGCACGGTGGCGTGATAGTCCTGCTCTCAAGCAGGTGGCCAACAGCGGGAACGAGGCTTCGTCGTCGCTCAAACTTTCGCCTTTGCCGTCGACTCAAACGCACGAGTCGTCGTCGGCCCAAGCCAAAGACTCCCCAGCCAGAGAACCCGTCCTGGCGAGGAGTAACTGCTCCCACACTTTGCGCGACGGCTCGAAGCACGCGCCCAAACTCACGTGGGACGACCTCTCGATGGTGTCCGAGCACGAGGACGATTTCCTCCCGGACATGGATTACACGTTTCTGCCGCTCAACGGCGAATATTCAGAGCCGCTGCTGAGCAGAAGTAGACGACAGGCGCCTTCGCTGGAGCCGGGCAGCGGTCAAGCTTTAGGTGGGTTGTTTATATATATATATGCGAATCGCCGATGTCACGCGTCACTCACTTGTTATTCGTCGTATCGCCACATGTCATAACCACAGTTGTTATGTTGTCACGTGACCACCGTCCCTCATCATATCGTCATTCAGTTGTAATTCGTCATATTGTCCATGAATGTCCTTTGTTACATTGTCACCCATATCGTCACTCGTCCTATTGTTGCTCGCCATACTGTCACTCACCATATTGCCACTCACCCTATTGTCACTCGCCATATTGTCACTCGTCATATTGTCACACGCCATATTGTCACTCATCATATTGTCACTCTTCATACTGTCATTTGCCATAATGTCACACGTCATATTGTCACTCACCATATTGTCACTCGTCATATTGTCATTTGTCACATTGTCACTCACCATATTGTCACTCGCCATTTTGTCACTCGCCATACTGTTACTCGCGATATTGTCTCGGCACATCATTTGCTAACGTATGTTCTTAATTACTATTTCTTTAAATCTCTTAAGTTTAAGCTTTAATCGTTTCCTCAAGGCTTCTCAAATGCATTGCACATAAGGAGCAGATTTAGAATGATCAGACAAAACATGCATACAAATGTTAACATAAATAAAAAATTATTTCCATAAGTCCTAATAACAAGTAATTTCTTTAAATCTCTTAAGTTTAAGCTTTAATCGTTTCCTCAAGGCTTCTCAAATGCATTGCACATAAGGAGCAGATTTAGAATGATCAGACAAAACATGCATACAAATGTTAACATAAATAAAAAATTATTTCCATAAGTCCTAATAACTGGGTTAATGGGGAAAAAGGGCAGAAGTATATCAACTTTACGTAAAAACCATGTTTTGTGTGTGTGGTTGTGTGTTTTCAATGTTCAAAAAAGTCCATATTTTGTTCCAATAACCTTTTATGAAGAAAATCCCCAATTAAATGAGTTAAAATCGCCTTCTCTAAGTACGCAGCGCCCAGGAATAATATGCATCTATGCAAACTATATCAAGACACTGACCTTGACGACATTTTGTGGTCTTTTCAATACCCGTCTACAACCACATTCCTTTAAGCTTAGTGTCTAATGCCTAATGTCTAATGCCTAATGTCTAATGCCTAATGCCTAATGTCTAATGCCTAATGTTAGGCCTATTTGGGAGGCTTAGACATCGGGCTACCAGTGTTACCTATTTATCTAAAAATCATTCTGGCCAAATAGCTGTGAAATACGCCACATTTGCTGTAAAGAAGTCATGTATTTACATGCCATTACGTCATTGGTCAGTAAAGTGTGTAATTCAATTGTTCATCTATAAATAAGCTATGATATAGTCTAAGGATAATAAAAATGGGTGGGGGGGGGCATTCCTCTTGCTGTCCTCTCGGGTACTACATTTCAGATGAGTGTGTTAGTTTGATTAAATTCTGTTTTTACTGTTGTTTGTTCGCTGATGAAGGCTTCTTGCCGACATGTTCGTTGGTTTGTTGCGTTATTTTTTTTTTTTAATTTCAGGTTTTCCCATACTTTATTTCGCTCATTTCTATGATAACATCTAAGTAATTTTTTATTTTTTATTTTAAATAGTTCATTGAATTTTGAATTGGAAAATCATGAGGATTTTCAAATTCCATTTATTAATATTGAAAAGAATTGCAACGTGTACGGTTTTAAAGTCGAACAGTCTGGTATTTAATGAAGCTTTCCGGGAAAAAAATAAAATAATAACCGGGCATGTCGCGTAAAATAGATGACCAGGCCAGGGCCATCTTAACAGCATAAGAGGCCGAGGCCCTGGGCACAGCAATGCAATGGGGCCCCCTAGCAATAAACATAATACTTGGGCCGTGAGAGGGGGGGGGGGGACAAACAGCTCCTTCTCCCCACCAACTCACAAGGGGGAATGGAAATGTAAAATAAAATAATAAAAAATTCAATAAAGTTAAACTTCGATGAATTCAATTTATTGAAACAAAAAAACAAAAGCATTCAAAATCAATAATAGTTTCAAAACATTATCAGAAATAAACTGTAAATATAAATAATCACAGGGGATGAAAAATTATCATTATTGACTGATATAATCCATTATTTAATGTACATCAACATAAGCGTTTGCGTAGTTTTTTGGCAGAGAACTGTTTTATTTTTGGGTTAAATTCAATGGTCTTAAGGATGTCGTAGTCCATGCACATAAGTGAAAGCCAGTTCATAAGTCACTGTGCAGGCTTAATACTCTCGTGGAAGAAGGTGTCTGGTGTTTTGGCAACAGTATTTATTGGCAACCCTTTCAATCAATTTAAAATTTACAAAGCGAGCTCATCAACATGGCTATGAATTTGAAACATAATAAATGTAAAACTTGATTCATGCGTCAACTTTACTACCGTTAAGAATTTACAAATGGATGGTGATTTTTGTTTCTTCTTCATCTAACCTATAACCCTAACATTAATAATGCAATCATTGACCAACACTGCTCTCCAAACTACAAATAATCAACTTACACATTTTAATTTGCATTTATTATGATTATTTATTTATTTATTATTATTTTTTTGTCCTAACACAGTTAAAGGAGAAATTACTCTCGGTAATGGCACATTGACTCCACAGCAAGAAACTGAGGGTTCATCTCAAAATCTGGAACTAAAAAGAAGATTAGCTGAAGCTGTAAGTTATTGCTTTGTTTAAAATTTCACTGTCTAAATATATTTTAGGTGTAGGCCTATTTTTAGCCTACACTACATTAGTGAATTCATTCAGTTCCGAAATGGCGCTTTTTTTTTTTTCTTCTTTCTACGGGCTGTTTCTGAGGGAACTGTTTCTACGAGGGCTGTTTCGGATGGAGCTGTTCCTTTGGGCCGTTTCGGAGGGGGCTGTTTCTACGGGTTATTGCTTTGTTTAAAATTTCACTGTCTAAATATATTTTAGGTGTAGGCCTATTTTTAGCCTACACTACATTAGTGAATTCATTCAGTTCCGAAATGGCGCTTTTTTTTTTCTTCTTTCTACGGGCTGTTTCTGAGGGAACTGTTTCTACGAGGGCTGTTTCTGATGGAGCTGTTCCTATGGGCCGTTTCTGAGGGAGCTGTTTCTACGGGCCGTTTCTGAGGGAGCTGTTTCTATGGGCCGTTTCTGATGGAGCTGTTTCTATGGGCCGTTTCTGAGGGAGCCTTTTCTACGGGCCGTTTCTGATGGAGCTGTTTCTACGGGCCGTTTCCGGGGGAGCTGTTTCTACGGGCCGTTTCCGGGGGAGCTGTTTCTAACGGGGGCCGTTTCTGAGTGAGCTGTGTCTACGGGGGCGGTTTCTGAGTGAGCTGTTTCTACCGGTGCTGTCTGCAGAGTCGTGTTTCAAATCCACACCTCTTTCCTATTTCTTTGCACTGTGAACTCTGTGCCAGGTTTATCGCCGTCAAGAGATGTGCTTGCCAGTCGGAGGCGTCCTTGTACTTGTGTGCTGTGGCCCTGGTCTCCATTCTCCACAACTTCGTAACCTGATGCTGACTGTCTTAGTGTTAGCATTTTCCCCATAGCCATTGTTTTCACAGTTAATGAAATTTTTACATGATATATATATTTTTTTTTTTTTGGCGGGGGAAGGGGGGGTGCACTAGTCAGGTTGAAAATTACTGAAACATATTTCAAATCCGCATAGAACGGTTGAAACGTTACCAAGCATGTTTCTTGAACGGAGGACTCACGAAGAATCACGTCTCCGGGCCTAAGCCCCCACTCTCGTAGCTGTAAGTGTGGGACACGGCCAGGAGGCCAACCCGCAAAATGATTTTGCGACGGCAGGAAAGTCTGGCTCAGAGCGTTGACTAAATCTGCAGATTTTCTTCGTTTTTTTATACTTTTTTTACGAACAAGCACATTTTTTTTTAAAGACGCCTATTAAATTACGACTATTAATAAACAAAATAAACAACAACAAAAAAGCACGAAACAAAACAACAAAGTGAAGACTCTGTCATTTGAGCACCGGGCTTGAGCCTTTTTTTTTTTTAAATAACGTTGCCCTTATTTTATAGTTTGTTAGTCTCATCATCAGCGTTGAATTCCTCTTGATTATGATTATACCCCTTCTCCTCAACGCCACCACTCCCCAATATCTAAACTTAACTTTCTAACATTTCTCCTCCTTTCTTTAGCTCATGGCTTTTTTGAAAACGATGACAAATACGGAGTATTTGATAAATATAAACGCATTAAGGTATTTACAGCTTTTTTTTTTCTTTTTCTTTTTTGTTAAATTAATTTATTAAACATATGTCATCGTTTTAATCGAGCGGGCGGAAGGGGGAAAAGGGGGGGGGGTAATATTCCTTTGTTATAAAGCAAACGATTGTGATTGTTGAAATCTGTAAACATAATTTTTTAAAGCTTTGTATTTTTGTTATTTAAAATATTTATGTGTTTAAATCACAATCTTTACGTTCTGTTGACGTATTCACAATCATGATCTCTGTTAGTTTATTTATGTGCAGGTCAGTTAGTTTAATTGTCGATTTTGACATATTCATCATAATGTCTATTTGTTTATTAATGCGTAGGTCAGGTAGTATAATTATCGATTTTGAGTTGCTGACCCCAGAAGATATTTACAACAGTACCGTCCTTGAACTTGCAAGTGCCTTTAGTACCCTCCTCAATCGAGGTGCTTTAGTGGTTGGAAACTCAACATACTATAGTGTACAAAATGCTCTCTTGAAAGACGACTCACTTCCTTACCCACGTAAGTGCAATGTATTTGCGAAGTGGCTATTCGCACCCGGGAATCAGAAGTGAGAGGCTGTGATTAAAAAATATTTTAAGTATTATTCTTGGGTTTGTAAGACAAAATCTGGTATTGGTATGAAAATGAAATGATAAATGAATGGACTACGGCACGGGTATGTGAACTTACTTCTTCAGCTTAACTAAAACGAATGACCACAAATGACATCCGAATAGCATTTTCATTTAGTCTAGAGGGACCCGAGTCCGAATATAGCCCCAGCCCTATAATTAGCTATCAGTGATAAGCTATGACTATGATACTATTATAACTTCTAAGTCTAAGTTTAAAAAAAATAATTTAAAAAAAAATTAATTATTGAATTTGAAAATAAGGAGGATTTTACAATTTAGAATATCTCATACTGGCTTTTACTACTTTAGTGCCAGTCATCTGTTACTTATGCAAGAACTATCAATCCTGCACAAAAGGTTCAGATGGAACTTGGATACCAAAATGCGTGTAAGTAATTAAACTTAAACTGTAAACTAAACTTAAACTCAACTGTAAAAAAAACAACTTATGAAATGACATGTTTAACAAGGTGTTATGACCAAACCAATTCTGAAAACAATCATTATCAAATATTATAAATTTTTAACTGCATGATGTATCATAATGTTATGTATGATTTAATTTTAATCTTAAAACATATTTTTTTAAAAGTAGTTTCACCATATAATATTATTATCTCAAGCATTGCTTGCTATGGGCACTATGGCTAGTTAGAACTACCATTCTCATAACTTTTTTCGGAGCGGGGAAAAAGTATCTAAATCCTTTATTTTAATAATTTTATTAAAATAATTCACAGAGACTGTATATTACAACCAAACATCAGATATATTAAAAACTCCTAAGTTTAATCATGTAGCCAAACATTTATTAAAAAATATAATTTTTTTACACAAATTTTAAAATTATTTTCTTTCAGACTCAAGGACACTCGTAAGTAATTATGATAAAATTATTAATTTGACCTACAATAACAGCTATTTAAGTTTATTAAAGTATAAAAAATCAAAATTTTATCAACAAATTGTTCAACAAATAGTTCAACAATGTTTGTAAACAATGGCCAATCAAGTCTATTTCAACAAGATAACAACAAAAATAATAAAATTGGTGCCTAAATGCCATGCCATCATATTGTGATGATGGAAAGAACTGTCTAACACTATTACCCAGGAGATTTTTTTTTTTTACAATTCACTTTTAAAAAATAGTTCAATATTTTATTTTTCAGGACTTTTCAAATATGGCTCAGCTCAAGGAGACTCAAAAATGCAGAAAGACAATGAATATGCCACCAAGAGAATAAACATCCCCTCTGGAATTCCTTGGAAGCAGCAGCTTATTAGGAACATTTGGGTAAGTTGGCCAATGGCATGGTCACTTTTTGCAGCATAATGAATATTAAAAAGCTGTGCACAAATTGTTTATTTGGTCAGCCTTAAGCTAACATGCGAAAGCAGCAATGACGTCTGAAAAAGGGGGGGGGGGTGCGGAGGGAGGCGATCGGCCCTGGGCAGCACTTGTTTCTTTATTGAGGGGGCGGCCCTTTGGCCAAATGCAGAGTTATTTCATAGAAGTCCGGAGGAAATCAGCCTTAAGCTAACATGCGAAAGCAGCAATGACGTCTGAAAAAGGAGGGGGGGGGTGCGGAGGGAGGCGATCGGCCCTGGGCCGCACTTGTTTCTTTATTGAGGGGGCGGCACTTTGGCCAAATGCAGAGTTATTTCATAGAAGTCCGGAGGAAAAGTTCTTTGTCCTTCCCAGTCGGCACTATCCTTAGCTATGTACTGGAAGGCAGTGATGAGCTATCCTGATATAAATTAGTGTCCGGTGTATAGGACGCAAAAGTTTTTTCCTTTCCAAATACACATAAAATATATGATAAGATTCTTTTATTTATCAAAATTAATGGAAATTTTAGTTTATTACAATGTACCTTTTCATTTCAAGCACATAAATAAATATTCTTACACAGACAAACATTTTTTAACTAGAACAATTTAACACAAGGCATCTAAAGTATTTCTCAAACGCAAAAAAAAAACCCTGACATATGCCATGCAACTTCACTCAGTTAGTGACAATTTTGACTTTAAGAGTGATTATTTATATTTAGTAACAGCCTGACTAACATGCTGGAAAACTCTTATAGATTGGGGTGTGTCTTATGTGCTAGAAATTTAGAATTTTTATTTCTTATTAATGTTTATAAAAAAGAGGGCTGCACTCTGTACGCTGGCAAATATGGTATTAAAACTCTAACCCACACTTCTGGTTCCGTTCATTCCAGTTAAGTATTAATGGTATCATCAGTTTCGACTTTGAGTATGCAAGTTTTAGTCCACAAAGACTGCCATCCTATGCTCAACCTAAATTGCTTGCTGTCTACTGGACTGATCTTGATGTATTAAGCTGGGACAGCGGAGAAGTCTACTATCAGGTATGTTAAAGATTAATGGTATAGTTATTTTTTGTGTTGTCTAAAAACACAAAGTGCTAATTTTTTTAATTCAATCATGTCAAGAGCTTTTACCGTATCAACCTACAATATGCTTTACCATAAATACTGCATTTTTAAAATATTTTTTGTAATACCTTGTAGACCCTTATTTGATATTGCAGTTGTATACAAAAAATGGTGGCAGTAATAAGAACTCTGACATATTTGCTCGAGCAAATAATGAGGTTGGTAGCTATGCAGGATTGGCAGACTATGATTGCTCCATAATCATTGTCGTTACATGGGATGATATTGCCCCATATCCTGTTGAACTCAGTGAAAAAGAGGTGAGTGCACCAAGCTTCTATTTTAACTATGTGCATGCTAAAGTACAAGCTTTTCCTCCATTAAATCTTACTTTTAGAGGCATAAAAGGAACACACCAAAACTACTGATCAAGTTAATATTTTAAAGTTCATGTAAATTGGTTAAAATGTGTACAAAAAAATAATTTTAAACAAAAGTGAAATTTTCTTCTTTTTAAATAAAAAAAATCACATTTGCAACTTTTGCCATCATAACCCTTAATTAGAAAAAAACAAGAAAGCAATAGGATAATTATTGATCACTATCAATATCCTTAATTGCATACATCCGACATATAATTACACTGCTGCTCCTGCTGGTTGATATTGATCCATTTTCATCTTCCAATTTATATTAACTTTACTAGTGTTTTTTGTGTGTCCTTTTAAGGCTCTAAAAATAAGATTTAATTGAGAAAAAGCTTTTACTTTAGCTTTATGACTTTTGGTCCTAAGAATTTTTTGAATGCTGTGTATTTACCTTAGAAATTTCCCCATAATTATTATAGATTTTTTTAAAATTTTTGTCAACACATTATTTGTATATTAATTAATGTAAAAATGATTGTTGTTTTTTTTATATTTTTGTTGTCATTCATGTACAGCGCGTGACCTTCCAGGCCATAATCATCTCAGATGGAGCATCAACATATGTCATTTACATCTATGGCAATGGGGCCATGAACTTTGACCCTGTGATGAGAAGAGCAGTTCAGGTTGGATGGGGCAGCACTAACTTTGATACCATGATCCAAAATTATTACAAATTTGATATGGTCATCGGAAACACAGGTGTGTTGATATTTTTTGTGTGCGCTTTAAATAAGTTATATATTTATGTTTGGCACGCAACTTGTTTCACATGGCCGCCATCTTGATTGCAAAAAATGACAAAAGTGTCATGGCAACCAAGATGGCAGCTGTGTTAAAAAATGTTTTGTTAAATTAGTGCAAAAACAAGTCTGATAAAATGGGGGAGGAAACGGAGAGAGAGTATGCTGTTTTAACTACTTATCAAGAGAAAACAAAATGTGGGAAAAAAATTAAAAATTTAATGTAATCATTTCTTTTAGAAAAAGTTAGTATCAACTTACTCAAGTGTAAATTTACCCCTAAATATATTCCCCCCTCCCCCAACTTAATCGTAAATATTTAAACCTAAAATGTATGACCTACCATGAACCCTAAAACTATGTGTTCCTGTCCTACAGCTGCACACTGCACTGTACTGTATGTGAAAATCATAAATTTGAATAAAAAGATTAAAATTATTCTTAAATACCGGTATTCAAAATAATGAAAACACAACTTTAAGTTTCATTAAATACAATTTTGCACCCTTATTGCAGGTTCCACCAATTACAAAATCCAAAATTTGACAGAAAATCAATACCCATTTTCCAAAAAGCTGGAAATTTAACCTTGTTTTAAATATTATAGTTCACCACTCAATGAAATATTAATTTAAAAGTTTAATAAGATAGAGAATCCAACTCAGAAAGTCAAAGTGGCGCGCCTAACATATATTAGCCTAATAAGTTAAAAAAATAATGTAAACAAATACCAGTGAGACCTAGAAATAACGCAAACCTTTGGGGCTGAAGCAAAAGAGTGGCTACTTGCAGGTTCAGCAAGTGGTCAGTTTTAAAGAATTGATCTTTCCTGGTGTGTATTTTTAGGACATATGTCGGGGACAGTGCTATGTCAAGGTTTTTTATTACCATGTTTTTGCAGTACTCCAAGTTATGATTTTTTTTCTCTTTAATATTACCATGTAGCCTATAATTTCTTTAATTGTTTAAATATTGTAACACATGTGACTTACCCATTTTTCTATTAAAAATTTTATGATGACAAAATTATTTTACATGATGCCTTTGTGTTCTTTAACTTGTAGGAGAAGTCGGCAAGTGGTTTTACAAAATTGGAGAAAAAGAAAACTTCCAAATGAAATGTCAAAATTGGTACTTGAACAATGTTGGAGATTATTACACTTATCAAAGTAAGTCTAAATTTTTACAAATTTTTAAATTTGTAACCATGACATATGGTTTTAAAGAATATGTCATTAGACGCAAAGTGTACTATGTTCTTCAAAGGCATGTGTAAGCATTTGTATGAGATCTTATTAAAATTATTTTAGTATTACATGGTGTTGTTTAAGCTGTATCATTTTAAATGCAAATGTATTTTATTAGGTAAATTTGCAAAAAGTTATTTTTGAGCATCTTAGAAAGCAAACAATTCCACGACTCTTTGAAGTTAATAAAAAAAATTTTAATTCACAACTCTTTTTTATATAGCTCTCATGTGGTGGAACAGTATAATACCACGCTGTCCTTGTAATGAGTTTAGCGCCCTGATTAGTGGCCTCTGGATACCTTCCTTTGAGGAAAGCGCTTGTTATGACAGTTTCCCAGGCTATGGTGTTTTTGGCAGGGTAAAAATGACAAATCGCTTCGTCCATAAATTAATTCCTGGGGCTTCTTAGTAAAAAGCAAGAATATCTTCTCACCATGAGACTAAAAAAAAAAAATTGTGGCATTTCCTGTGCAAGCATTTAACATGTGAACTAATGAAATGATTCAAAGTAGCCAAAATATTTTAGTCTTTTAAAAAAAAAAGTAGTAAATGAAATAGTTCTTT